AGAAGAAAAAACAATTGCTATCAACCTGCCTTCCATTGAGGACCTATATACTGCATGAGTCAAAAAGAGGGCTGTAAAAATATTTACAGACCCTTCACATCCTGGACATAAATTGTTTCAACTCCTACCCTCAAAATGATGCTATAGAGCACTGCACACTAGAACAACTAGACACAAGGACAGTTTTTTCCCGAACACCATCACTCTGCTAAACAAATAATTCCCTCAACACTGTCAAAGTATTTACTAAGTCTGCATTACTATTACTATTAATCTTCTCATCGTTCCTATCACCCATCTCCTCCCACTTATGACTGTATGACTGTAACCTTGTTGCTGGTATCCTTAAGATTTACTTACTTATTTGTTCCCTATGACTATCATTAAGTGTTGTACCTTATGATTCTTGACAAATGTATCTTTTCTTTTATGTATACCGAAAGCGTATGCACCAAAACAAATTCCTTGTGTGTCCAATCACACTTGGCCAATAAAGAATTCTATGTCTATGTCTGTGTCTGTGTCTAAATGTCATAGCTCTCATCCACAGACTTCATTCAACAGACTTTGTAGACAAGAGCCAAAATCATTATCTCACCCCTTCCCCCAAGTTATGGATATTTTTGATACATAGGAAATTGTTTAGGTAATTTCCATATGTTAACTTTAAAATGCATTTTTCCATCATTTGTATAATGATCAAATTATGCAAATGATATAGTGTAATATGTAATATAATTAACAAATGATTTTAATCACTGCAAATGATCTACTTTTGGATTTAATGGACAGGAATAACCTATAGCCTGTTCCCACAAGTGATCTATTAAAGTAAGGTTTCATTGTTGAAACAATAAAAGGGCAAGTCACCATTCAAGTCTCTTATCTTTCACAGTGGACAGCATCCACTTCCTGGGATAAAATGAATGGAATAAGAATGCTTAAACATTGCATCCACTCTGGTACATCCTTTTTAAGAAAGCAGGAATGTTTAAAACCACTGTGACTGTCATCAGAAATAATGATATCTCATGAGAAATTCCATTATCATGATGGTAAGATGCCAAATAGCTAAACATTTTGTTTGTTGTTGCTTTTGCACATCAATTTATTCAAGGAACAAAAAAAACCCTGCAGATAATATCAAAATCAGCATGACAACATGCCTACAAACAGGAAACAATAATAAATATTCCCTGATGATGAAATATTCATATACATAAAAAGCACCTACTCCATAAGTGAACTATTCAAAAAACAATGTTCATTAGATACCACATGTGAATATTTGCAACCTGCTGTTCAAGTAAAAAAATCAACTTATTTTAGCAAAGATTTCACATTCTAGTCTCTTCTGACTCAGACATCTGTTTCCTACCTCCAGTAATTTCTACTTAACTTGAGAATCTCACTATCACTAAAGTAGTAATAAGCTTCCTATAAAGTCTGTTATTCTTTTTTACACTTTTTGTGATAGTCTGCAGCAAAAATGGAAAACCCATTACAGAAAGAAGACTGAAGTGTCTCTCTCAATAGCCTAATAACCTGATGATGTCTATATTTCAGTGTGGCAATGGAATACGCACAGGAATGTTGTAAGCACTTTTATATCTAAAAATTTTGTGTGTAACGCAAGTTCCTATGAACATATTGCATATTTGTAAATTCAGATGGTGGGCTGATGACTATTTGTTTAAACTAAATATAAACATTATATTAGTTGTATAATAATATTTATACTCAAATTCTAGCCAATTAGAACATTCAATTTTTAATGAAGTTATCAGCAATTTTAAATAAATATTTTTTTAAAAAAATCAGAATCAGACTGGAGAATCAGATTTTACTGATGTACATTAGATTAGGCCACCCTTGTATTACCAATGGAGAGAACAATCTTTATAGAAAATACAGTTGCTTCTGAGCTTAAGTCACTACAAATTCAGTGCTAATAGAACTTGGAATAAAAGAAGAATAGACATATAAACACGAATGGTGGAAAAGAAGTGATTGTCAACCATTTCCAAGTCTACCCTTATATGGAAAATCTATGCATGGGTACTTAACAAATAGAACTCATTGTGTTTAGCAATGCATCCTCCAGGTCAATTTGCAGATTTAATCTGATTAAAATATAAATTCATACAAAGAATATATAACAAAAATTGCCTCCTGAAATAAAAAGTGTGTGTGTCAACTTTACATTTATGACACATTTATATGCACATTACATAATTTTTCATATATGTGTTTGCATGTATGTATATATAATAGATAAATAGATTACATATAAACTCAAGGCAAAATGTTTCTATTTGATAGAACTTTTAGCATTAGGAATCACTTATTTTGGTTGAAAGTTCCACCAAAATGTAATTGTGATAGACACATTGAATTCTCCCTTTTTTTTTCCAAATTTCATTCTTATATTTTACATGCCACTGGAAATAACATTAGCTTGAAATCCTAACGTATTAGCATATTAATATGCAGACATATTAATAAAATTACTAATTTGAAGACACAAAATATTGTAATGATTTTTAAAAAAATAAAATTAAATCCATTTAAAAAGGCCTAGCAACCTGTTTCACACAATGCCAAGCAGATCTCCATGGAAACTCACAAACACAGCTTGAAAATAATAGCTCCCCTTGCTAATTTCTGTCTTGAAATCTACTGTTTAGTTTCCCCTAATTCTAGTACAATATAAAAGGAATAACATCCTAGTTTTTCACACTACAAATTATTAAAGCTATTGTGCCCATGTGTAGTGACTTTTTAACACTAAAAGCCAAATATAATTTAGCCTCTGCTCATATAGCAGTTTCTCATTTCTTGATAATTCTGTATATTTTTTCTGCAGAATTCTTTTTATAATTGTGCAAATAAAAATCTAGAGACTAAGTTCTAGAAAGCATATCTGCCTGATTTAGGTAAAAGTCTTCACCTGTGTCACTATGCTATTATTTCCCTAAACTTCAGGTGCAACATACGGAGGTAACATCTCATACTGATTAGTTAAGTTAGGGGTCCCCAATTTGTAGGCTGAAGCCCGTGGCCTATTCACAACCAGGCCATGTGAGTGGCCAGTTGGTGCACATACGTATTTGTGCACACACAGCCCCACTTGCAGCAGCATTGCAAGTGCTCCTTGTCCTACTCATGCAAGCATTGGGTGCTCACACACGCGCCTGCACCCCACACAAAAACATCCCCTCCAACCCAGAAATATTGGGGAACTCTGAGTTAGGGGATTAAATATCTTCAAGCAAGCCATGAAGCTCGGAGAGCACCGAGAATTTCACATACTACATGATGGTCTCAGGAAGTGGAAATAATTTGTGCTGTGTTTCCCCAAAAATAACCTCTAGCATGTTTTTTGTGTGTGCACCCAAAATAAGGCATATCTTCCCAAAATAAATCCTACTTAAGTGTCTGTGCAGCCAGCTGCCCACCCATTCCGTCTGATTGCTTGTGATGCCAACACAAGGTGAGATGAGGTGGGAATGGAGCTGCTCCATGTGCACACCAGCTTACCTGAGGGCCTCCGCAGCCAGGCCATCCATGACCCAAGAACTGCCTTGCTATGGCAGCACCAGAAAACATGTGCAGGAGCACATGTGGCTGCCAGCCCACAAACGATGTGTTGCTGCCGAGGCCATGAGGTGAGGTGGGGGGTGGAACTGCCCCATGCACCCAGCACCAGATTACCTCAGGGCCCCTGCAATTAGGCCAGACAATAACTGCCTCATGGCTGTGGCTCTGACAGCTCCATCCAGCAAGATTCCGAATGGCTGCTGGCCCACTTCTGCTTGCTCACAGCCACAATGGAGCGGGATGCCCAGTGACACGCTGGTGCCATTGCCACGAGGCAAGGCAGGTGTCAGGGCATGGATGGCTGTGAGGGCCCTGAAGTAAGCCGGTGCAGGGTGCATGGGGCAGCACCACCCCCCATCTTGTGGCAGCGGCACTCAAAAGAAATAAAACATCCCCAAAAATAAGCCCTAGTGTTTATTTTGGAACCCCCCCCCCCAAAAAAAAATATGACCGGGTCTTATTTTTGGGAAAACACGGGTTAAAATGCAAAAAAAAACAAAAAAAAAAACCAGTTTTTTTGGGAAATGTTTGGGAAATGATGAGATTTCTTAATCCTATATATTTCTATAAAGCTGGAAACTAATTATATTAATGTAATTGTGTCAGACATCTAACTGAAAAATGCCTATGGAGATTCTCAGTGATCCAGGTCATGGTTATCCCAAAGGTGCTTTTTCAGGAGGCAACTAGATTTTCTGGTTTTTCTTTGAAGACATTTTGCTTCTCATCCAAGAAGCTTCTTCAGATCTGACTGGATGGTGGAGAATGGAAGGAATTATACTCCTTACAGACAGCTGGACATTTGCATTCTTTTAGCAAGTCATTAAGGTCACCTGGAGATTTATCTGTGTTATCAGGGTCACCTGAGTGGTGCAAATGGGTGTGGAGCCTTCTTGGAACTGTTGAAAGTATTGTGTTGTAGTTTGGAGATAGATGATGTTGTATCCCTCCTCCTCTGTTGAGAGAGAGCTGTTCAATTTTGACATAAGTGTCCTCTTTGACCCCTCTTTCAATCCAGCAAAGTCCATATTTTGGACAGAGAAGACTGCTGGTTTGAAAGAGGGGTCAAAGAGGTCACTTGATCAATGGGGAAACCAGATTCAGTTAGTAACAATGTTACTAATTTAGCATCTGCAATGATTCACTTAAAAACTGTGGCAATAAACTTTGCCCAAAAACTGTGGGGCAAAACTCATTTAACAAATGTCTCAGTTAGCAACATAAATGTTGGGCTCAATTGTAGTTGAAAGAACTACCTGTACAACCTGTAGTTGTAAGTAGAGTACTACCTGTAGAGTACTACCTATTCATTTTATTTATTTTTTTCATGTAGTTTTTCTATTTAAGTATGGCCATAATAAATCAGAAATATATCACTATTAAGCAATAATATTACTTACCAGATATTTCCTCTAGACATTGCTTGGCAGTTTTACTGTATGCCAAATCCAATTTTGTAGGACTGATACAAGAGTCCGAAGATGGGATAGAAGAACTATCATTTTCCGAATGAGTTCTGGAATTAAAGAGATGGAAGGTAACGTCTATAAAATCATAACAGTGATGACTTATAATTCAGTATATGTAATCAAAAATAGAAATATCATTAGCACTTCTTTGTACGGATCTAGAAGATAAAGTGCTAAAAGCTTAATCATGAAACAGAATATTGTATTCATATGGTGTAAATAAAGTAAGTATACCATTAAGAGGTATTTGATTAGATTAATTCAGTCAAGGTGTCAAAGACAAAATGTTTCTAACATCTTTCATTGCAAGATAGGAAATGAGACAGAAGAAAATAAGTAAATCAAGATACCACTTAACCACAAATAGGGATGCATTATTCCAAATGATTGATTCTAGGAATTATATTACTAATAATAATACCAAATAGGAAAACAGCAATACATTGCTAGTTAAGACTAATAGTGAAATGAGACCTATATTACAAATAAGAACTCAGATAAATTGGTTAGTAGACTGTTATCAATGGCAGAAAAAAAAGTTCAAGAGTTGCAGTTGATGGGAAGTGTAATCTGTCTAAAGAAGACACTTCTTCTAAAAGATGTCTTTGAAGCTTGTCACCACTGAACACATTTTCATTACAACTATTATATGGGATTATACTAACTGATAGGATTACCTTTTGATAATATTACACAAATGTGTATTTTAACAAAATGCCAGCAAGATCACAGAGATAATTTAATTAGACAGCTATTATAACCATAGCTTTCCTCTGAAAATTTTAAAATATGAATTATATTATATTATATAAATTAATATAAATTATATAAATTAAACAATAAATACTGTGATCCGAGATTCACAATTGTGCTAAACTGTATCAACTCCCTCATAAAGACACTACCCAATAACCCAGAATAGGTTAAAATTACAAGAAAAAGAGTACTTTTCTTCCATTCTCCTTATAATATTAATTCCAAATAATTTGAATTTAGCTTTTCTAATCATTTTATTCACAAAATAAAATTTACCTCTGTTCACATGAGGTTAGTTTATTTTGAAAAAAATAAATTTCACTATTTACAGTCTTCAATTTAAAAAAATAACATCCACCCAACTAGAGGACACCTTGGAAAGCTTTCTTAAAAACATGCCTTTTGCAAAATAACAACCTGTCAGTTCTTCTGCTATATTTATGACTTCCAAGTTGCTTATCTATTGTTTTTCTTTTTCAAAAACCATCTGCAAAGGATAGGAAAACATAGTTCTGAACAATATACACAACCATGCTAATATTTTTTAAAAAATGAAATAAAATGGCATCATAAACAGAAACTTGTAGAATATAATGTGCTTGAGTTATTCTTTAAGTCTCCAAGAAAATATGCAGGCAGATATTTTCTCTCATTTTAGCATCTGCTTGTATTGTATCAGGCAGTATCTGAAGCAAAAAATTGTGGTTCAGATGTAGCATTAAGGTTGGCATCATGCTCTAAGCATGAGCTTGGCTAACAGGCTCAAACGATTCATTTTGCTCACCCTTTACACATCCTCTCATAAATGAATAAATAATTTTCTGATAGGTTTTGAACTAAGAACCCAGTGGTTTTCTTTTAAAAAAAAAAAGGCCCCCCAAGTTCATTTATACCTTATTAACTTAAGCAATTGGGATAAATCACAATTGGGCGAATTTGGACATACTATACAGTATTCAAAAGTGGTTCTCCCCCCCCTTCTGCTTTGCTAATGTGAAACATGACTAAATATTATTGTGCAAGGATGACTTCATTTAATAGATTTGTAGGTTCATCTAAGTTTTAAATGTTATTATTGTCTAGTTCTTTATAATGTTGCATACCAATTAAGTGTTACAAATCTGAACACTCAATAAAACTCAAGCTATATTTCCCAATGAATGACTAACCAGAAACTCTCTTGGGTTGGTAGGAAAAAAAAACCATTTTGATTTTTTTATGAGTGCCCGTTCTACACAAATCTGGTTATACCACAAGCCAAGATATTGCCTCTACTTTACTTTTCTCATTTTCTTTTTTAACTAGTTGTTCCATCAAATCAAAATTCTCATTACTCCTTTTATCTAGTTACTACTTTGACATATTATATTCCAAGGACATGTACTGTAGTCTGACCCCAATTTACCTCCATAACTTAATGATTATTATTGCTAATTGAGCAAGAATCTGACTTTATACTTCTATTTTGAAAATCCATTATTCTTTGAACAATGTTTTTCACAAATATGTCTTACCCATTGCTCTCATATTCCAAAAGCCTTGTTGTTAACATGTGTTGCAGCTTTTTGGGATTTTAAAGCTTCAATAAGATTGGGTAGGGTTTTTTTTTTAGTATTCATAAATGTGCATAATTTTAAAAAAATACTTTACATAATATAACAATAAAGAATATTTGGAAAATTGGAAATGAAATCAGCTACTTACAGATGAGCTAAGAAGTTAGGACAGGGAGCTTAGGAAGAAAAGCATCCCTTGATTATTTTCTTGTTTTTTTTAATTTGTGTTTCCATTTATTATATCCTAAATCTGTACATTTTTACAGCATATATAATCTGAGATAAATATTTTAACCAAAAATATATCTATGGAAATAATTTAGCCTGTTTTGCTGAGAACCCTAGCTTTGAGGGCAGAGTTTGGCATGTTGCCACTTTAATTTTGCAACAATGACTGCAAGTGACACAAACTGTTAAATTTACTAGCATGCTGGTGTCTCTAATTTGCCATTTTAGGGATAGAACAGCTTGCAGAAAGCTCAGAATTACAGAGCTTGTGTGTCAACTATATATCAAAAATCACAGAAGTTATAGTGGGTGTTGAAAGGAGATAAAGCAGATTTATGCAGGAAAAAATAGATGATTAAACATCAATCAAAACAGCATAGCTCACAGGTACCTTCCATCTTTTCAGTACTAGCATTGACAATTGAGCGATATGAACCGATTTCTGAGTTCAATGTGGAACATTTCACTTAAATAGCACACATATTTTTTTCAGGGTTTTTGGCTATACCAATCTGATCCATGTGCATCAATCTGAGCACATAAATATCTTTATCAAACTGTGTCCTTTAATGAATAGACATTTCTTTCCATTTCAAATTCAATCTAGAACACAGGAAAAATATCAAAGGAGAAAAATCCAACTTTTTTCCAATTTACTGGAAAAAGCAGCAAATCGAGATAAAAAAGCAGCAAATTTAGAGAACTGTGGGCTTTCTACCTGTGGATGAAATGACTTTGTGCCACTTAAATGCCTAAGTAACATAGTCAGTAACAACTTATACTAAGATTTCTGGTTACTATCAATAATCTCTTTAGTTCTTTAATTGACATATGTAAGCAGCTGATTTATATATTTAGATAAAGGTTGGCTTCTTAAAGGAATTTTCAGATAATTTAGTTTCAGTCAGTAAAACTATATCAGCCTGGTTGCTTATTTGAAGTACAAATACATGAATGATCAATGATCATTCATTTTCATAAATTAACAGTTTAGAAGCTCAAAAGTAATTATCAGCCTTATATGTGAAAATAGTGTTAGAACCTAGAAACACCTTAGAAGAATGTCATGAGCTCTGGAATAGTATTTTCACAGCCTGAACACCTATAATAGCATAATGTTATTTTAGCACAGAATGGAAAAATTGAGTTATAGAACATAAAATTGGTATGATGAAGTAACTACAATAGCCAGTGGGAAAACAATGGGAAAAACTCAAAATCCAGCATTAGCAAAAAAAGAAAGAAAGAAAGAAAAATAAATTACTGGAAAGATATAGGGAAATTGTTTTCCAAATTATCTACTTCTTGAGTTTCTTCTAATTAAAAAATGAAGCCCCAAACTGGAACATTTCCTTGGAGGGCAAAATCATGACAAGAAAAATACAGCAGAATGCAAGTGCTCACATTTTTCATAGCCTAAAAGGAGCCAAGAATCTTCCCTGCTATTTTTCATCTTAATAAAACCATTGCTAATTATGTCAAAATCTGTGACCCAACTTTAATTTGAAAAAAGCATGTGATTTTAATTCTTGGTGACAAATATGTTATTTATTTAAATTCTGACATAATCATGAAAATCTTGACAAAAGGCATACATCCTCACTTACATGGGATGCATAAATCTAAATGCAATACTTTAGATACAGTCTTAATGATATCTAAATGATGTTAGAGAATGCCTAGGTCTTTCTTAAGATTTGTTTTCTTAAGGCTGAATGGCTACTGGTCATGATAGTTTATTTATTATTTATTTATTCAATTTATATCCCGCCCTTCTCCAAATGGACTCAGGGCACTGCACAGCCAGAACTAAAACACATACCAATAGAAAATTTAAAATTTTTAAAAGAATTATATGACTTTGGCCCAAAATTTAAAACATTCAAACTAAAATCCATTGACAATTTAAAAAGCTAAAAAAGGGGGGGGTTCACGCCAGCCCTGCTTGATGGAAAAGAAAAGTTTTTAGGGCACGGCGAAAGACCCGGAGATCTGATATCCTTCGTATCTCCAGGGGCAAATCGTTCCAGAGGGCAGGAGCTGCCACAGAGAAGGCCCTCCCCCTGGGGGTCGCCAGCCGACATTGCCTGGCTGACGGCACCCTGAGAAGTCCCTCTCTGTGGGAGAGTACTGGTCGGTGGGAGGCTATCGGCGGCAGAAGCGGTCCCACAGATACCCAGGTCCTATGCCATGGAGCGCTTTAAAGGTGGTGACCAACACCTTGAAGCGCACCCGCAAGACCACTGGAAGCCAATGCAGCTTACGCAGGAGAGGTGTCACATGGGAGCGCCCACCTCCGGGTGCTTCTCGAGGGGAGTTACAGATTAGAACTCATTGTCTTTGACTTATTGAGGAACATAATGCAGAGGATACAATGCAATGAAACAATGCATTGACAGATTTCCTATAGTCATCTAATTGGCCATTACAAGAACAGAACAGGAATCTAAATAGACTTTAGTTATATAAAGCTTTTTTCTCTTTTCAGGAAGATGTTAGAATATACTCTATAATAAATAGGGAACTTTAGTCCCTTATAGTTGATTGATATTTTGCCAATTTGCAGCATTAACATAACATGCAAATGACATACTTGATATCATTACTTTCTGTTTAATGGATATTCTATATTAACAGGCAAATTGTCTGTTAAAATAGAGTTTTACGATATACAATTTTAGAAAGCATGTGAAACATAAACACATATTTATGAGATTTTAAAAAATTGAATATGTTGTTTATTCTGTGAAATGACCATATTTTTGCTATACATGTAGGTTTATTGTTACTTTATCTCATGACAGCAAAAACAAATCTGGGGGGGAATGTCAATTATTGAATTATTGCTTGCAAAATTGATGGAAGTCACTAACCAAAATCTGATTAAATCAAGCAAACACTGGCCTTCAATAATACAGAAGGTTTCTGCTTAAAAGACCCTTTCTCCAAGTTTATCCAGAAACCATTATGTCATTTTTAATTCCACTATTGATGCTACAGACTGAGGCTAACTAGTTGCATAGAGACCACATGCAGGCAAAATGCTAAAATAATTTAGCAAACAGTAATTTGGGGTTACTGTAAAATCATAAATAATAATTAAGATGAAATCAGTACAAGTAATATATCTGATATGGGAAGTAATACAACACTATAATTCTTAATATTGTTGAGATGGGAAAAGAAAAAAAAAGGGACAGCCTTTTCATAAACATATTTGATAAATATACCAGCAGGAAAAACAAATCCAGCAACACAAACTTCAAGTCCATTGTGCTAATTAAATTTCTTAGGAAGATGTCTCCATGTGATCCATTTTACATTTTTCCCAGTATTTATGTGTATTTATGTATGTATGTATATATGTATTATCTATCTATCTATCTATCATCTATCTATCTATCTATCTATCTATCTATCTATCTATCTATCATTAAAGACTGTTAAAATTATAAAGTGTGAGTAAACCCAACTTACCTATAAATAAATGGTGCTACAGTGGCTGTATTTGGATGGCTGTATTGTTGCTGCTGAGGAAGTTGGACAACACCACTTGCCGGGACTTGCCCACTGACTGAAGCCATTGAAGGAGAAGAAAATGATGTACTACTAAGACCAGTACTGGCCTCCTTTCCTTCAGAAGCTGAGAGACTGGAAGGAACATAGTTTTTCTCATTCCCTTGGGATTTTGCCATAGATGTGGGGTGGTTTCCTTTTGTATTTCTCACTTTTTCTGTATCTTTACTTCCTGAAGATACTAGTGAACTATTCTGCTTCGATGTAGGTACTTTTGAACCAGGTTTTGGTATACCACTAGATGAAGGAATTAAACTTTCTTTCTTAGCTGAAGTTGCTTTGCTCCCCTTGGGAATCAGGCTTGCAATTTTTGAGGTCTTTTTGGCGGGTGTCTCGGGCATCTGTTCCTTTTCCTCTTTTACCATCTTTTCAGTGCAAACTTTATTTTTATCTTTGCTCTTTTCTTCTTTATCCTTTGGCTGTAGCAAAGACTTTTTATTGCTGATATTTTTGCTTCCAGCTTTCGGAGGAGTTAATTTAGGGGATATTTTGGAGCTGTTGGTGGTAGATCCAGCAGTACTGAGCCCACCACTGAAGCCATCCACTTCACTATACTCTAAAAAAGTTTCATCATCTTTGCCACTGTCTGCGGGGCCTGAATTTGATGATGATAGAGGGGGCCGTAAAACAGTCCGAGCATTAACCAGTTTGAATTTCTCTAACATAGATTTCTGCCCAGAGGAAGGTGTTTTGGGAGCTTCAGAAAGAGGTGGTTTAAGCCTGTCTGCAGGTGGTGTAGGTGAGGTTGCAGGGCTCTGCTGCTTCACAGACAGCATGGTAGAGGTGGCACTGTGTTTCACATTCATTGATTTGCTGCGCCAAGGCTTGCTGGCACTTGGAGAGGGGATGGCAGAGACCAGCTGCTGCCCAGTGGTGGTGGGATGCTGTACATTTCCATTTATACCTGCAGATGAGTGAGGACCTTTGGGTGATTCTAGTTGGTAAGAGAGAGAAAATACAATTTACAGAGTTGTCTAATGACTTCTAATATAAATGGAGAGTAAAGTGGCAATTGTGTGTTTTAAAATTAAACACGTGTAATTACACCGTTCGTTCTATGATTCACACGGACAAGAAAAACTAGAAGTGCAAAATAATTAACAAGCATGCTCAAAATCTGCCCATGCAAGTAAATAACTGAATAACTGAAACAATATCCTGTTTCCCTGAAAATAAGACCCTGATAATAAGCCCAATTGGGCTTTTGAACACATGCCCTAAAATAAACATCCCCCTGAAAATAAGCCCTCCCCGAAAATATTTAAACGCAGAGCTGGAAATCTGGAAAGATGGCAAAAGGAGCCCCATCTTGCTCCACATGCTCCCAAAACAACAAGACCTCCCCGAAAATAAGGCCAAGCGCTTATTTTGGGGTTCAAAAAAATATAAGATAGGGTCTTATTTTTGGAAAACATGGTAGTAGTATCCTAGAGATTGTTTTGATAACTAAAACCATAATATTTAGTGCCAAATTCATACAAATCTATAGGATTAATATTGTAAATTGCCCTCTCATTTAGGATGTGAAAAGCAAAAGAGTCTTCTGCTGATGCCAGCCCTATCTACCTGCACTTCTATGTTTACCAAATCAGACACACTGATGTTGCTATAGTACTCTTAATGAAGAATCAGTTGCCAAATTTGGGAAACTGTTGTAAAGGTCACTGTAGAAGTCTTCCATCAAGCTGCATCAGCAGCCAAAGCCAGAAACAGTTTAATATAGAGATGATTAAAGCAATCTGACATGAGACGGCCAGGACTAAAAATAACAGCAAAAACAATTTCCACAAGAAAGGCATTTTAAAACCAATTTGGTCATTTCAGACTTTGAATTTACTATTTCTCAATGAAACTTAACGATTGAGTAATATTTTCTGTATGAGCATGGTTTAGTTTGTTACTTAAAAACCAATCATTGTTAGTCAACATAATATGTATTGTTTGAGGGGCTTGGGGTGTGTATATTTTACAGTTTTAATGTATTTTAGTATTTTTAATATATATTGTTCTCTACTGCTAACCCAATTCCATCCCCAGTAGTAGAAGGAAGATCGTAATGCTCAAGAATATATATATAACATGTTCATTTGACATGTACAATAAAAAAATGAAATTAACATTTATTTGGAAGAGGAAGTAATGGAAATTGTGATATTACATGGAATTTGATTTGTACTACATCTCCACACATTCAGTTTATATGGTACATGGTCATTATTTGCCAGGAAAGTGTTACAAATATTCAGTACAAGGATTTGTGCCAATGACTTAGATCAGAATAGAAAAGCACACGATTGCATTCAGAAAGTTTTAATTTCAATTTACACTATCTGAACCAGAAGCTGAGATCTGAGTCTCCGGAAAAGGGCGACATATAAATCGAGCCAATAAATAAATAAATAAATAAATCTTGGAAAGTTCTATCCAGCAGCCTTTTCCAATTTTACATTCTCCTCAGATAGGTGAGATTTCAATTACTGAAATTTCCAAACAAAATGGTAAATGAAACTCAAATATGTCATGTTCAATATAATAAAGTAATGCTGAATGGAGACTGAACTACACATTATACTTAATACACTGTTTGGTCTTCTACATGTAGTGTAGCAAGTGGTTTGTATAGTGACCATTTGCAGTTACAATAGTGATGAAGAGATAACTTTGCATACAATTCTTGAATTTATGACCTTTGCAGGTCTCTAAAGCAAAGGAAAGGGGAAGTAAGTTCAGAAGCACAGCCACCATTTCATATAGTGACTGTTTCATGTAATAACTGTTGCTGGTCCCAATTGTGGTCACTAAATGAGAACTACCTGTATATTACTATTGGTGCTATTTAAAAGTAGTAAACTTTTTTTTAGATAAAAAAAACTTTTCATTGTGAACAAATTTATAATGGTATATTTTATTTTTATTTATTCACATAACCATATTTTATGACAATTAGTTCTAGTTTCAAGAACTAATTTCCATTCCTAGGTCAAGCTTCAAAATCCTTTAAAGTTCTAAATCAAGTCTCTAGTTGATTTCAGTACCAAGTGTATTTTTTCAAAGCCCAATAAGGTTAGATTTGCTGATGAAACACACCAAAAACTCCTCTGATTTGTTGCTATAATTGAATTCACAACAGAGCTAGTCTTCCCTCCTGCAAATCGTTTGGGAAAATACTGCAAATCTATATCTACAATATAGGAGAGACTTGTTATTGTGAGACTGATTTTTCCTAACTCGAATAGTCTTTCAAAAAATCTGTTGCTATAAGGTTAAGCTGCATTCATCACAAATGATATAAAATATTCAAATCGTTGTTATATTCAAATAATATAATTATTTTAAGGATTTTGTTAAAGACACAAAAACAAATAAAGAATTAATTATGGACAATTATGCAAATTAATTTTCCTCTGAGCATTGTGTTGTTCCCGATTCATTTTTAACTATTAACTGATTAACTGATTAAAATACAAATGAAGACAAATATATTTTAAAATACTCCAATTAATGGAGTATTCGTTAAATGCATACCTTCCAAGCAAATGACAATTGGGAACCAGTAATAGTTATTTTCCAACCAAGAAGAATTCTCCAAGATAATACTATTATTTGAAGACATCTACTCCCACCTTGTGGTAAGCATAGTATGTGTTGTTTTAAAAATGTTGTATGCTTAAAATTTCATGTTCCTTTACCTTGAAGGTTAAGATTATTAATTAGTATACCCTTATTAATATAATTCTATAACTAATTTTGTTTAAAAGTGAAAGATATAGAATTTACCAGAAGAAGGTAATATGTGTCAGTATTTGCATATTAGCTAATGTTCTCCCATTGTTCACTGCTTATATATATATACATATATATTTACTATACCTATATATTTCTCATTTTTAAATAGGATATTTTCACAAAAAATTAACATTCTATTTAGGATAAATAGGATATTTTCACGAAAAAATGGTTGCTTGATTGACTATTCAAGAAGCATTTATTTAGACTCATAGACAATCAAGTTTTGAATCTGATTTTCCATTGCCATAAACTGAAGGCATGTTATATTTATTCTGATAAGGTTGCTTCTCAACAGCAAAAATATTGAAGATAACTTTGAAATCTATGGATGTTACTATATATTCTTGAATAGTCACTTTTTGACTTTTGGTTAAGATCAAGAATAACATCTTGAATGTAATGTTACATACACTGCTTTTAGAATTAAAAAAGGGTAAGTCTTCCCTAAATATCTCACTTTGAATATGTGAATAAATAATATATGAATAAAATATCATATAACTTTTAAAAGACTCATGATCATATCCAATTTTTATGTTCAAAATCTAACTCTGAAGAATATTTCCATATATACAGTACTGGTATGAGGACAACTAGAATAAAAATTATGTGCCCTCATGATGCAGTTTTCTTCAGATAGAATTGAGACATTACTTCAGCACCTTATGATTACTCTGGGTCCCATTTTCAAAAAAATGAGCTTTCTGGTTACCATATTTGAAACAGCCCAGGTGGCTTTATGTATGCTAATTTAAAGTTCTACAAAGCTCAAGGCCAGGGCAATGTCAGGAATTGTGGAGGCATCTCCTTAGACTTCTGGTTCAGTAAGACAATGTCTATTAAGCACTCACCTTTTTCATTTCCATTTGCATATTGCAGAGGTTTGTTTTTGTCAATGCTATTAAAGCTCTGACTTCTTCGATTTAAATTGGAAGCTCCCTGGACTTTGGTACTGCTGCCTGCAGCTGGCACCCTTGAAGGCCCAGGAAGCCTAGAACAGTACAGTCAGAAATAAATGTGTTGCAATTGTAAACAGTTGTAAGGTAACATGGTTTCATAAATAAATTCATAAACCTGATTAACAACAACAAACATTCATGTGCTTCAAGGTTAGTTAGCCACTGCCACGGAGTTATCAGTCTCAAAAGGCACAAATGGAGGATAGATGCTGTATAAGATCACAAACACATAAGGACCCTTTACATTTTCCATTCACAGTGCATAAATGAGTCCCTGGATGCTTCTTAAGAGCCAAGGTGGAGCAGTGGTTAGAGTGTAATACTGCAGGCTACTTCAGCTGACTGCTAGCTGCAATTCGGCAGTTCAAACGGCAGTTCAAATCTCACCGGATCAAGGTTGACTCAGCCTACCATCCTTCCGAGGTTAGTAAAATAAGGACCCAGGTTGTTGGGGGCAATATGCTGACTCTGTAAAACTGCTTAGAGAGGGCTGTAAAAGCACTATGAAGCGGTATATCTAATAGTCTAAGTGCTATTGCTATTGCTATATGCAATTCAATTTTTCCCAATTTTTTCTAAGATAATAAAAGTCAATCTTAGTGGAGAGTTTATTTGAGAAATACACTGCGTAAACCATTTCTTATATAAATATAGGTATGACAGCAGAGTAGCTATAGTGGCAAAAACAACAAAGATATCTGTGGCATTGATAAATAATAAATATGTAAGCTTTAAGCCACCATAATACTCTTTGTTCTTTATCCTATTTATAGGTAGGTATTTGATGATGAGTTTACTGATTTCTGTGATTGAGAAGCTTTTGTCTGGAAATAAAAATTGTTGTATTAAAATGAACCCTCCACCACAGTTCCAGTCAAATATTGCATTTGTTGGTGTTTGCTGCCACCATCTGAAACTTCCTGGTTAGTAAAGTTAATAAAAATGCCACTGTCTACACATTCACATTATGCTATGTATATTTCATGGCCTGGTTTAGTGATCTTTTTTAAAAGACAACTTCAGATTATGTCCATAGTCATAAACATAGAGATTTTCAGCATCAATGGAATTTTATTAATATTGAAGTCAGATACTTTTGTTAAAAATAAAAATAAAAAACCACTATCACAATAAGCAATAACTGAAAGATAACACAGCATAAATAGAAAAAAAGCATACTTTTAATATTTCTGTGTGTCTGTCTTTTAACTATATTTCCTCCAGAAAACCCTGACATTTTTCTACATAGAAATTATACATTATAAAAAAAATTAGTCTTGAATTGCAACGGCTTATCTAATATTTCCATTTCATATTTGACTGCTATGATATAAACTGCAGTTTTATATGTTTCAGTGTTCAGCTTTCAGGAGGATATATTCTGGTAGTTACTCTGAGTTATTTTTGTCTATGCTACAAGAAGAGCAGATTGTTTCATTTCTAGAAATTTTTTTTAGATACAGTAATTTTATGACTTATGAAAACGATCTCTAACTACCAAGTTAATTATATTTGACTATGTTAAAATCCATGTGAAATATAAAATATAAGGGCATTTTTCACAATATAGAAATTGAATAAATAAATAAATAAATATATTAATTCCATTTATAGATATGCCACCCATAGAATCATTTTAAGCAACCAAGGAAATGCAAAGTTTAAAACAACAATAATTTACAAAAACATACTTTTGATTAGAAGTTTGCAAAACACCCTTATAAATTTATACTGTTGGACAAACAACAACTGTTAATTTCCAGACAGAACAAATTGTGAATGAGACAAGAGAATCCATAAGAAATGAGACTGAAAACCTACGACCACAGGTGCACAACAACTGCACTCTGGTATAGCTCATTTCGTGTTATCTTAGCAACTCAGACAAAATGACTTAATCATGGACTACCCAACTGATAGTTCATTGCCAGTAATGAACTGTTTTTCAAGGAATACACATAATCAACACAGACTGAACACAAAAGGAGGAACCAGGTGTCTTCCTTTAGGAAATAAATGAACTGCAAGTAGTAATTCTAAGTAAGACAGCCACAAAACTTGGCAGAGTGACAGGGTTATACATTGACATCCAGGCTATTAAGAGCTGTACCATTTCCACTGAAAATATGTTCTGTTTCTAGCTACTTTTACAGAAATTACACTTGCCTCCAAATACTTCATTTCATTAAAACCTTTTTAAGTGTCTTTGATATGGACTGGAAAAGCACAAATTGTTTTTATTCCAGTACACTTTTAATATTCACCATAAATACCATATCTACACAGATTGACAGGAATTCTTGAGTCAAGGAGTATTTCCTATTCCAGTTTAGACACTTCAGGATCTCAATCTGTTTTACTTGTAGAATGCTTTCGTGCAAAGCCAGAGTCTTTTCTAATAGCTCTTCCTTTAGTGAAAAATGATAATGGAAAACAAATTAGAAGATAGTTGTGCACTTCTATTTCCAAGCCCAGAGACTGCTCTATTAGACACAGGGCTGGTTTCTTTTTGTAGTGTTCCAGAATAAAGTACTAGTACACAATTTTCTCTTCTTTCAGGCTAGGCCAATAAATGAAGAAGATGGGGTTTGGGGTTTTTTTGAGTTGGATGAGAACTCTACTAGTCAATTAACCAAATTTATTTTTTACTGAATATAACGTAAGAACCTACCATTTTGGCTTATTAGTAGGTGCAAAATTGAACATACATAGTTTATTCAACAAACCAAGGTAAAAGAAAAAACAATTAACTGAATTAATGCAATGTGAAAATGTGAAAACCCAACCACTGTGAACAGAATAGATAAGCCTAGAAATGAGACTAACAAGCAACTATCAGTTGCAAACAAGATTCTGAAGCACAGCTAATATATATATTTGAAGCCTTTCCCCAACTGTTTTCCCTCCAAAGGAAAAGTACAACTCAAGTGTTAGAGTACAACTTAAAATTCTAAATCCTAGACTTGGATGTAGCCAGTTAGGATGTAAAATCTAAACCTTGTTTGGTATGTGAAATCAAATTACCGCATCTTAGACACTTGCGTATACAGTTTGCAATTGGACACCTTTCATTGAGAGGACCTTATTCTCTAACTGGAAAATTGGTGCTAGTCTAAATTGCTATTACTCCCAGCTAATGCTCATACTGCAGTGATTCAACACTTCTGAAGAACATAAAGACCAAGGCTTCTTCGGTTAAACAAATTTAACCTTCAATTTAAATTGAAGTCAGAGCTTTTGAATATAAATTGCTAATAGACACTGAACAAATCCTTTGAAATATTTATGTTGCGTTGCTAAGCTGCATCATAATGATATCTCTACAACTATCTTACTGTAGATTCTTTACTGTAGTCGTGGCCAGTTTTCCACTAACCAACAAAACATCCTGTAAAACCTACATCTGAAATATTATAATGAAATACCTTAATATCTATTGTGGCTCAGAAAATAAAAATGCCAGTGGGCAGTGACTCTATTAAGCATCACTAGCAAGCAATAAATTAGAGATGTTAACTGACCTAGAAAGCTTTTTTTGACTGGTTGCAATTCCACTGTGATTAGACTGAGTTGTATATCTGGCTGTCAGACTGCATGAGAAGAAACAGAGAAATTGAATTAAAGAATGTTGTTGAATGTGCATAAAAAGCACAAACTTACCACCAACTGATGAGTTAATGCAGAACATGGATAGAACATGAGTAGAAAGCAAAATTAAAGAATCAAATGCAATGTTAATAGACAGTTTCTAAAATACAAATTACGTTGTAATGAGCTGCTCTTCGTACTACTTTAGCTTATATAGAAAGATCTTCTCAAATGTCGCAATTGCTTTAAAACACTTCTGAAATCACTGCAGAATTCTCTACCTGCCCCACTTTTATGGTCAAGGGACCCTTCAGTGTAGAACTCTATTGTTTATATAAAGTGAAGATTAAAATATTTTAAAAGATATCCATTCAAGAATCACTAATAGACCATGACTTTTTCAGATCATTGAGAATGTTATATAGCATTTTAAGGCTACAGACTGGGCATATTTTAGAAATGGCAAAGGATTAGTATGACTTTACCCAGCAGCAGGTAGCTATGAATCTTCATTGTAATACTCTGCAGATCATTTTCCAACTATTTAATACATTCATTGAGTCAGAGGAAGCTATTTAGACTATCAAATCCATTCTGTGCTCAATGTAGGAATCCATCTTATAGCATCAGAAGGCTATGCAAACTCCACTATAGCACACTGAGCAATCTAACTTTGAGTACATTCACCACCTTTCTAAACACTTGGTTCCACGGCCAAAGTGATCATACTGTTATAAAATAAACCAGTCATCCATAATAATCCAACTCTTACTGCTGTGGAAATATCCTTAGTCAAGTAGATGATTATTTATGTAAGCACATCTCATGCTAGCAACATAGCAAACAATGAGATAGAAAGTTAAAGATGAAAAGTGCTGGGCTAGCATTGACAAGAATGTAATAAACCTAATTGAAAAGTGATGAAAGTGACAAGTGATATGACTTTGATATATTAAACAACCAAGGATGTGATATGAACAGACAATTCATTCTTTGGTCAACTTTTTTAATCGCACCGTATCAGAATGCTGGTTAAAAAAAAAAGTCAAGCTGAAAATTTCACTCTTCTAAAAAGTTTTTTAAAGAGAGCTGATTGAAATTTGGCTGAGATATATAGAAGGAGCAGGCAGGCAAGGACTGAAGTGGAAAGCAGAAAACTTCTGCTGAGCTTTATCCAGATTGCTTTGACTTAATGCCTAGGGTTGGCAAATTCTGTTTCTATTAGAAATAGTAAACAAAGCAGTGCTATAGTCTAGATATTTAGCATTAAACAAATAGGCAAAAACTTGGAAAATGTCATGAAAAAATTCATAGGATTTGGCAAAAGAACTATTTAAACTTTGGTATTTTTTCCCGAAGTAACAGTGCAACAGTAGGAAACAACAGTGAAGAATACAGAATGCAGCTTGATTCAGCATTAATTTGCTTATTTCCTTGAAAAGTCACTCAATCAAAACAAGACAAATCACAAAACCTGTTCCATGACAAACAATTTATATAACTCAGTCACTTTCATGTGATCACATTTCACATCAGCAAAAGCTGACATTTAGTTTCAGTGTAAGAGGTAAGGCATGATTTTCTATATTCTTTTGGGAACAGAAAATGCTTCCATGTGGAATTAAAGCTAAGCAGTAAGGGGATTGCTATGCATTGGAGAAGGGGACTAAAAAAACTGTATTGAGGGTGGTAGAGATACAGCTTATTTTGCAATAAAATAATCTATTTTCAACCTAAAACTCAGGCCATAAAAGCCATAAGGGAAGAAAATATTGATTGTAAACACTACAAATTATTTTTAGACTAGGTTAATGCACTAAATAAATTGCTTAATTAGATTAAAACAGCATGCACTGTTTCCCATATGTTAGTAAACTAAAAAGTAGATAGCTTCCTCAATGTAAAAACAAAAATGTTATTTTATCATTTGTAATTATCTATCTATCTAGATTTGAGGAGCAAGATAGACAGTTGAAATGATTATAAAAGAATGTGAGGTAAAGGAAGAATATATAGGTAAAGGAAGAATTGGGAAAATATATAGAATATTAACTGAATTAGGAGAGCAGGCAAAAGGTTTAAAATTAATTTGGGAATCAGATTTAGGAGAAATAAGTGATAATGATTGGAAAAATATTTGGAATAGAAGAGTATGTAAGAATATAGCAGTTAGAGTTAAGGAAAATGGATATAAAGTTATATGGAGGTGGTACCTAACACCACATAAATTAAATCAAATAGATAGTAAATATACAAATATATGTTGGAAGTGCAAGAAAGACGTTGGAACTTATGTGGTGGGATTGTGATAGTGCACAAAAAATATGGGACGTGGTGTTTAGAGAAATTAGAGCACTTTTGAATGTAAATTTAGATATGTCACCGAGAATTGCATTATTATTGCTGGTGGAAAAACAGGATATAAATGAAACAAAAAAGAATTGATTGTAAATTTGATAATGGCAGCTAGATTAGTGATGGTTAAATATTGGGGACGAAATTGGGATATTCAAAGAAATGAGTGGTATAATGAAATTTGGAGTATGGCAACAAATGATAAATGAACAGCAGAAATTAAATTTAAAAAAGGGATGATCAAAGCAAACAATTATAATGAAACGGGGGGGATTTTATAAAATCAATGTTGGTGAAAGGTAAAGGGAATAAACCTATTCAAGAATATATGTTGTTTTGGAGGGGATAAGGGCACAATTAGAATATATTGTATATATATTATATTATCTTATAGAAGAAAAAATATAAGGGAAAAATGGTCTCCAGGGGTGGGGGTGCACTGTAATATTTGTATTATTTTTCCTCTTTTTTTGTATTTAGATGTATATGTACTATGTTTGTATTGTTTGTATTATTTATATTTTTACAAATTTTAAAATTTGTAAATTTTTTAAAATTTAAAAAATTAAAAAATATCTATCATCTGTCTGTCTGTCTGTCTGTCTGTCTGTCTGTCTGTCTATCTATCTATCTATCTATCTATCTATAAGTAATCCCCCCTTTCCAAATATTCAATGAAATCATATTTATAGCTTTATAAGTAATAAAGATAGACCTACACATAGAAAGAATTAAGGTATGGGTACGTCGTAATATTTTAATTTAACTTCATCTCAAAGCCAAGGTACAAGAATGGAGAGCAAAACTACTTTCTTTTCTTCTTCTACACAGGATTTTCAGTAATATAGAGACATAGCAAAGGATTTATTTGATTTTTGCATAAATTCATCATTAAACAATTAATACTGCGACATAATAATAATAATAATAATAAATATTGTCATTGTACATCATGTATACAACGAAATTGGTTTAGCCTCTACTAGCTGAATATTAAATATTCAGTGTGCAGTTTTAACTATTTTAAACTGCTGCCTGTTTTATTTTGCAGAAAATAGAATATAATCTAATGCCTTTAACTTATCTGAATATAATACCTAACCCAGTATTATTTCTTCTAAATAATTAAACCATAGAGACCTTGTTTAAAATGTTAAATTAATTCTAAATAAATGTAAGTTTTTTATTTAATATCCTTAAGGCTAGAAAATGTTCCCAATTTCTTTAAGTAGTTGCCTCATTAGTTCTATATTTATAAGTATTTGAATATTTTATTTACTGTTAATGATATGTCATTTATGACTACTTACAGAAGAAATTAAATAAAGAGAATGATAATTTCCTAATTTGGGTATGGCACAATAGTTTCTTTGAAAGCATCTAATAAATCGATTTCATGTTGAGTCACCTGAGTTCATGGAATTCAGGTTTTGTTTCTTCAAAAAGTATTAACCTTGTAATCCCATTCATGTAATATAAGACAGATAAACACTAGAAATTATCTAATAATGTTACCAATTGCTGGGAGGTAGAATAACAAAAAAAATATTTGCTGTAAATTTAAGTCATTAATGTTTGTGTTTGGCTATTAAGACTACTATGCAGAAAAATCCCAATAAAAACTATATTGCTCAGAATTATATACAGAAGTATTAATTTGTTCTATCAGAATTGCACATAAAAGAGTGATAGTGTCACTCTTGTAGGAGACCTACAATGGTCATAAAGATTGTGGGGAGGGTGTTGTTTGAAGTATTACACTCACTTCAGCATGCATCTTTCTCTTTATGGATGTTTTACAACATTCAGCGAATTTTTCTAAGTCTATTTAGGATTTCATCCCTAGAAATACTGGAAAATTACCTAGAATGGAGAGGATTTTAATCTATCTTGATTAGCCTATAAGTGTTGACTGGAGATGTTCTCTCAGGTCCCAAACAAATGGAGATGGAGAATAAACAAAATAATATTTAATAAGGATTTCATCCTGTAACTCAGTACTGTAATTCCTATTTATTATAATAGTACTAATATTTGTTATTGTTTGATGTATTTGTAGAACTAAGAAAAAGATTAAAAGACTGGTATAAAAATCCTTATAATAATTAAACATCCTTGAAACTTAAAGAGAAATTTTTTATGGAAAAGAAATTCATTGGCAGAATGTTACTGAAAATCATAACTTTAAAGGAGAAATGAGCAGCATTGTGCAGATCACATTAGAGAAGCAACATGAAACAGTTCATCTTGGTCCCTACAGCAGCCTCCTGAAAGCAGCCACCATTTCGGCAAGGAATTGTGAGTGTGCCACAGGTGGCCACTTCCAGGAGGCAACCACATAGCCCAGTGATGATTAGCTAGCCCTCCTTCCCTAACATGGCATCCAGAGATCTTGAAAAGGTAAGTGTGCAATGGGTGACATGTGAGTGGGGAGCAAACCCAAGGCCTGCCAGAACTTGGCAGGGCAGGATTGGGAGTAGAGAGGCAGAGGGCCCATTCATCAACTTTACATTTATTTTTTTTGACTCAGTATCACACAGTATTCATGTCAACATAGCCAGTTTCATAGACAATCTGCATCTGATGTTGGATTTGAACTGGAAAGACTAGTTCAGCTTTTAAAAATTCAATCACAATATGCTGGTTAAAGTGGTCATGACAAGTGGTCATGTAGGCTTCCATTTCATAAACAATAACAAGACAACTTTTTCTCACAGAAACATCCTCGCCAACTGAAGTGGAGAAAAGAAAGATGAATACCATGACAAAGTTTCTAGCACATCAGTATTGCCATCTGTTGGAAGCATTACTTTTCATTCTACCTTCACATTTTTAAACCAGAGATGTAGGAAGAGTGAAACAATTGCTTGCTTTTGAAGCAAGAATGTTGTAAAAACAATAACAACAACACCCACCACTGTTGCTCACAGAGTAATGAAATGGTAGACTTAATTTATGACATTATTCTGGCCTACTAGTATGGTTGAACACATGATATTTTGTACTCAAAGCATAATACATATAAAATATTTTCAAGATTGTTTCCATTTCATGACTTTACTAAACTTGCTAGCTGTTAACATGACAAACTTCACAAAGCTGCTGATCCCATGGATTTTAGCATTCATGTTTGAATCCTGTTTGAAAAACAGTGTATCAACTACATTGAAAAAATGACTTCTAGTTCCACAAACTAAATGCATTGCATATTTAAAGTAATACATAGAAAACTAATGAATTAATCAGATCCATATGAATCTCAAGTTGTTACCACTATGTCTACAGGTCATAATGTTAGTGTATCTATATTTTAGGATTTTGCTGACAGCTCTGTAATCAGTTTCTCTCTAACCCATAAATGTGTATTTTTCCTTCAGTATGTGGGTAGTTGGAAAGTCATCACATAGTCAGAGAGCTTTTATTTACATATCAGTCTCTATATATTTATCTCTGTTTTTATCTCTGTTGCATAGATTAAATATTATTGATCCTGCCAACAAAGCAGCCAGCTAGTTAAGATTCATATTTTGATGTCTTTGAGGTCTCTTAGAATTATAACTGCCAGGATTCCAAACCACTGTGGTTTCCATTTTCAAATATGATACCTCTGTGGTCAAATTTGTATTTTACATTTCCTTGGATAAACAATCATTTGTGGGAGGTCTTACTTTATGAATCTTCTGCAATTAAGCTGTTAAGCTGTTTAAATGAAAGCATTTCATTTACTATATGTTTGTGCCAGTATACATATCCTTGTTATATAGATATAACAATTATATACTGTAGCTTCACAATTATATAGCTGTGAAGTAATGGTATTTGTGGGAGACGATACACACATAACAAACGGCAGCTTAAGGGTATAGTTCAAGAAGCCTTCAGATAAGATAGAAAGAGAAGATGTCAAGAAATACAGTTACAAATAAGCTTGCTATTGTGTTTTTTAATGTTATGCAACATTTTCTCACCATGAGATGGACAGCTGGACAGCTAGACATATCATGATTGCAGTGGGTATCAATCTGGTATATTTAAAAATACTGTATGACTCCTTGATGTATTTCGAGAATGTCTGCTCATGCACAATGAAGACTATTGTTGTCATACAAAGCCGTCAGCTGGTAAAATTCAAGCTCCAAGGGTAGGAAGGCTTTAGTTGTACATACTTTTGTGAATTATAATTCTTAGGACATTTTGGTCAGTATTGGCACATCTGGTAGATTCTTGTATTAAGTGATGACGTCTGAACTGAATGCTTCATTTCTCATTTTAAGAATGCACGCTGTTGATTATTCTTGAACTTTCTTAATGCAATGAAAAATTTAATTTCATCACAGACATCAGTAAAAGATACACTGGGGGGGGGGGGTGTTCCTGATTTTAACTTTACAGAAACAATGAATTGACCATTCTCTCTTTTAACATCCAGGATGATAGTGTATCAAAGAAAGATATTTCCAATTATCACAGACATAGTCCTTTGAAAAGCATAGGCTATTTCTATCTATGGTGGAAGCATAAGCATAGTTATGCTTACAAGAGCCCAACTAGAAGCAATCACTAAAAGTGAGCATTTCGATTCCTCATGCGTAAGCATAACCACAATGCAAAGTTGTGGTTCATTAATTATTAAATTAAATTACCTGATTTAGAAAAATAATTAAAGCCACATAAAGCATCTTTATTTATCATTACACCTTTAAAAAAAAAGTGCAATATAGTGTCGGCTGTTATATTTTACTTAATTCTAACGTAACCTATTTCCAATAGTATATACATTCGTATAGGTGCTGGTTATACAAGCAAAATATAGGGCCTTCGTAGTACAGTGGTCTAAAGCACCCTGTTATTAAGAACAGCTGCCTGCAATTACTGCAGGTTCGAATCTCGCCAAGGCTCAAGGTTGACTCAGCCTTCCATCCTTTCTAAGGTAGGTAAATTGAGGACCCAGTTGTGGGGGCAATAAACTGACTTTGTATAAATATACAAAAGAATGAAGGCTATTGCTTAGTGCATTGTAAGCCGCCCTGAGTCTCCGGAGAAGGGCGGCATATAAATCAAATTAAAAAAAAAATATTCAAATAAACCAGTGTTTGACAACCTTGAGAACTTTAAGCTGTGTGGACTTCAATTTCCAGATTTGCCTGGGCAGCAGGTCATCTGTATACTACGAGCCATGAAAGCCATGAAAACCACTTTGGGCCAGACATTCTCTCTCAGCCTAGCCCATCCCAGGTGCTATTTCTGATCCACACTCCCCTCTCACTCACTTTCCACCTGGAAGAGGGAGGGAGGGAGGGAAAGAAGGAAGGAAGGAAGGAAGGAAGGAAGGAAGGAAGGAAGGAAGGAAGGAAGGAAGGAAGGAAGGAAGGAAGGATTTCTAATGTTTCTTACCAGCTTTCCACAAGGATATTCAACTAGGAAACCAACAGAAAAGTGGAAAAAAACTGCTTTTTTTGCCATCGCATAGTCATTTTGTTTCTTTGTTTAGGTAAGGAAATCTCTCTGAAACAGTGACCCACTAGATCACAGGTTGTGTAATAAAGCTTAAAGTTGCTAAGTTTGAGAAACACCAACATAAACATTATGGGAAATAGATTGTATGAATATCAAAAAATATATGTTAATGAGGAAACAATTTAATTTGACACATCAATCATTTTAAACATATAGTGAATGAACTTAAAAGTTCCACCCTCCATTTTTTTGCATCACTCAAGGGTCCTTTTGATCTCTCCCAACATTTCTGCGCTCCATTTATCTCCCCATTTATCTACCTGGAACTTTAAAAGAAAACCTCGGGCAAGCCAAAGATCATATGTAACTGTCCTTTTAAAAGAAACAATTAGTTTAAAAGGCTTTTGTTTTAAAGAATATTGAAGAAATAGTTCATTTCAGGTGGAAAAATATATGAAAATAGTATGGTAAATGGAAAATATATATATATTCAGTTAGTTTTAAAAAGCAAAGCAATTCCTACAAAACATACATTCTGACATGTATGTTTTGGCTCCACACATTTTAAAGAAAGGTTGATACACTAGGAATTTAAAACCAGCAAGAGATGCGCATAAGAGTTTTGCAACACTCTTTTCTTCATTGAACCATGAACTTAAAGTTCCTAAAACTCTTAATCCCACCACAGTCCAGCAAGTTTGCCACATTACTATTCTATTCACATCACAATCTTTTATATAAATAATTACAAGTAAAGCGAACAGAAAATGTATGTGTTTATTTTTAACACATGCTCTTATCTGAATGATTTCAACGTGAAGAGAAAGATTCACAATCATCATTAAGATTTTGAATGTCACAAAACATAATTATAAGATTATGTTAAAAAAATTATAGATTGTGTTATTGCTTAACAGAAAAAGAAATTAGCTAAAAATATATATTCAACCTCTAATTGTATAATTATATAAAACAAGAAATTTGTTTTTGATAGACGAAACACTGCTTTGTTATACCAATGATCTTTCCTTTATTTTATAGTTAACTTTCTCTTTCTAAAAATCTGATCGACTAAATACTAGGATACTTAATAGCAGTTCCATTCCTGCCGTCTGATTGTTGTATTTAGATAAGCAATAGCTGGTTTGAATTCACTATGGGGAGCTTCATGATTTTTTTAAAAAATCAGTGAATGATTTTTCAGTGTTTTGTAATCTACCTCTCATACAATATATACCATTCATCCACAGTGTTAACACCCAAACTCCTTTGATGAAAAAACTATCTGAAGAAAAACACAATCACTTCATTTTAGGTTTGAAATAAAAGCAATTTAAAAACAGAGGAACAAAAGACTTTTTTCCGTTATGTTCAGCAAACAGAAATTATGATAAAATTAAGAATTTACTCTCTTTCAAGAAAAAAAAACAAGATTATCTTTAGTAATTTTAGTAATTCAGAAATTTAGTAATTCTTTAGTAATTTCAGAAATTTAATGTCTTTAAAATGAGCTTCCTTCAGATGAAGCATTATCAGGCTTCAGTGTAATCAGTGAGTTTCCAACAGCCAGTTTCATCTCATTGTCAACAGGGATGGGGAAGTTAAATGTCTAAAAAAATATCTGAATAATAGTTTATAAACTGTTTTAAGCAATTACAGTTTTCTGAACATTAATAAAAGGCTTCCTTCCACATAAGACTTCATTGGTGTCACAGTTTCAGTTTTGTTTTGCGGAGCTTGAAAAGACTTCTTGCATAAAGAAAGCCATCTCAGGTACAATTTGATTAAGGAACTAATCTGACCTACCTGGACTGCATATCTTGCTGAGTTTTGGACTGGCCACTCTCAGGAGGATTCGGAGAATGAGAGATGTGTTGCTGTAGCTCTACCAAGGACTGATAGTACTGCTGTTGTTGGTGCTGCTGCTGTTTATAACGAGACAAACTGAAAAACAGTCCTAAAATGGCTTTCAAATTTCCATTTCTTATTTCTGCACAGACAAAAAGAAGGAAATGAAAATATCGAAATTAGCTTTCCTTCACAGATGTGCCTAATGGACATTATCTATTGTTTCAGTTCCGCAAACTGCCTTATATTTGAATTTAATATGACAAGATTTTTAGAGATATTTATGATGGAATCTCATGTTTCATATTGGATATTAAACATAAATTTTATATCATATGCTGAACTTTTTTAAAGTACTTACTGGCTCATAACACCAAATTTATCTACCATAAATATATTCAAACACATTAATAGCACATAATCACTATTCAAAAGGTAACAATTTTGTATAATTTCAATGTGATGATTATTTACATTTGGTGATGTTGGCCGATAATTTCATAATCCTGTAACTAAAGTGGTATTGTGCCTTCCTTCAGCTATATATATAATACTAAATTCTGCTGGACTATTTCATACATTTCTATATTGGGCTGTTTCTGTAGACAATCCAGAATCATTCAGAAGCATACCCAGTCAATTCATGTCTTGGATTATACTGGTTAAATGTGTTTCCAAGCCTAAATCAAAGTGCTGCATACGATTTTTGAAGCTTTTTGTTACTGGAGACCAAGTTACAGATTGTCTTTGTCAGAACTAATCTCTTCACACTTTAAGAATTGCAAGATAAAGAAATTTAACTTTGCAACAAAGAGGAGTTTTCATGTTGGAACCAGTAAAAATCCAATCTCATACTTAATACCTACACATTTATGTGTACAGAGGATGACCAGAGAAGTAGTTAAATCTTTATCTTTAGCTGATTTTTGTCTAAGTTGCTTCTGAGAGGAAAGAACTGTTTTGAGATCATAAAGTATGTTCTCAATATCCCACTGTTAATTCCTGCTCTCGAGCATTAACTGTGTCTAATGCTAGGACCAAAAGTCACTTCATTCTTATTCATTATTATACTGGTATAATAATTATTTTTCCTTCTATTTATTCAGCTCTGGTTTTTACATCAAAAAAGTATTGTTGGTTCCTCTGAAATTATACCAGCTGACATATTTGAGAATTTCATCTTAATTTCTCAGAAAAAAAAAATAAGTTAAAATGTTTCTTATGCTTAATCATACCTTCTTTATGATCAAAAGAAGATAGAATAAAAATCTGTAGGGCATTTTTTTCTAGTTCCTGAATCTAGACTTTTTTTAAAAAATTCTCTGATAAAAAGTCATCTGACAGATGTGGTTATAAAAATAATACAAGCTTATTCATCTTTAACTGAAATTTAAAAACATTAAATATATAAAATTGTTACTACTTTCTTGATAATAAGAAATGTTTTTGATATTGATATTAATATGATATACATTTAAAAGGAAATGTATACTGATATTGTGCAACTGAAAGACGGAAATACATAATCAACCATTTTTAAATTTTGTAAAATATTTGAGTAATATATCAAAATATTTCCAACTGATTTCTAACTGGCCTGTTTTTGCCATTCAGGCTTCCCTGATCAATGGACTTAAGGTAATTGAAACTTATCTACATGATAACAATAAAAATAAATGTGAAAATCTCTTTTAAGAACTGTTTTTGAGAATACATCATCTTTCAGAATCACAAAAAGCTATACTGAATGTTCTGACTAGGACTATCAATAATCACTTAGGTGAGATGGGCAGTGTAGAAATTTAATAATAAAAAAATACATATTCTAAAAGAAAATGAAAACTGACACTGTATCATTCTTACAAAAAAAAATTCAAATATTTTATGTTACTTCTTTCTTTATCAAGAAATAATTTATTTCAGGTTTCTCAAGAAATGAACAATAACATTTGAATGAGTCTGAAAACTTTGACAATAGCATAATTAATTTCATATAAAACAGAAATTCAAAAATAGTAATTGTGCATTCTAATAAAATAGTTTCTGACATCACTTCAACTAAATATTAATGGTGAAGCTAAAAAAACAGGATTTTTTTAAAAAAAATTTAATTTGCCCCGGGATAATATAATATGTGATGCAAAGAGTAACAAATTTAAACAAACCGACAAAAGTTTTAAACCATTTGATTACAGTGTGACATGAATGCACATAATTGTTAACAGAACCGACGAAGGTAATAAAATCATTAGATCTGTTACTTTAAAATGAGATTTCTTGTGAATTTATAGGCTTATTGACCATGCTAAATTTCAGTTATTTACACAATGCAATACTGTATCATATTCCTGCTATGTTCAGCAATGTACTTGGAAATTACACCATATATCTGTTTAGAAATATAGGTAAGAGATTAAATGCACAAAATATACCTAGGAATAAATCAATAATTTGAGTATTTCATTTGACTTCCAAATGAAATATTTATTTTCTTATAAAGAAACAACTGATTCCAAGAAAATAAAGTAGGTAATTCATAATAAAGATTTTTTTCCAGATGGCAAGTTGAAAATAGAGTTCATGAACTTTTCAGAGAGATATTTTACTTTCTTGGTTTATATGTGGTTCTCTTACCTTCAGCAGAAAGACCTTGGACATTTACTCCTCTGGCTGCCAGAAAGCTAAGGCAGACATCAACATTCTCAATCTGCAAAATGAACATGAAATAGCAAAGCAGTTAAAGGCTATTTTACAAGATGAACTTGCTTGCTGCAAATGGGTATGGGAGGAAAAAAAACCCAAAATGAATAGTTTACATTCATCACATAGTCCAGTTCTTTAGCAAAGTTAACAAGAATGATTACTGCTAATTAGGCAGCTGCTATAAAAGCTTTCATTGTCCATTTTGGTGCTTAAAAACAATTCATAAAGGGCTGATCCAGAATGGCATGCTGACAAATCACCAAGCCACCTACGTACGAGAAAACTGGATTTTGAACACTCACATAAACAACAATGAAAGTTTCCATACAAGCTTGAATACTGTGGTATGTCCTAAATTGTGGGAGACTGACTGCTTCAGTGAAAACACATCAACAGAGCAAAGTGTGCGTGTGTGCGTGTGTAATGAAATGTGATTTTGTAAATAAACTTATTTTTAAACTTTGCCTGAAAGAGATCTCTTCAAATTCGCCATAGAGTCTGTAAGCAAATTCAGTTACTACTCTGGTAACATTTGAGGTTTGTTTTAAATTGGTAATGTTATTTATTTTAATCATAGCTACCCAATTTACATACAAATCAGAGTATGTAGGTAAGTAAAATGACATATAACAAACAACCACAACCATTGCAAATAATAAAACATATTATTTTTGATGCAATTTCATCCAACCATCCAAGGGCAACCATCAGGACAGCTGTCACAAAACCCATTATTTTGGAGGAAGCTGCATCTTTAGAGTCATCCAAAAGGCGAGCAGGATCAAGACCATCTAAATTTCAGAGGTAATGCTGTTCCATAGAGTAGGTGCAGCAAAAGAAAAAGTGCTTCTCCTGGGATCTATTAATTAAGTGTTGGACATGTTCTCTTTGTCTTATCTTATTGGAATGGGCAGACAATCTTGCAAATTGCCCATCCCTGGCTAAGATTGGCTTTATAGGCCATCTTGAATTGACCCAGATACTTACTGGTAACCAATATAACTCACGTAGTAAAGGTATTACATAAGCATATTGAGGCATGCTTAGAATTATTCGTATTGCTGTATTTTGGACCAGCTGTAGCTTCCAAGTAGTCTTCAGAGACACTCTCAGGTATACTACATTGCAGTAATCTAGATGGAAGTTGACAAATGTGTGGCAGACTGTAAGTAAGACTTCCTGATCCAGAAATGAACAAAATTGGCACATAAAATAGCTTTGCATAGTCAACCATGACTGCCACTTGCTGTTCAAGCAAGAGACCTTCCAAATTGAACCCTGTATGGAGTAATACTATACTAACATGAACCAAATCAGGAAATTCCCTGGATCCAGGTGGCCCCCAAATGCTCACCCATTCAGTTCTGCTAGAGCTGAGTTGTATAACTTGTATATCATCATAAAGTTGCTACTGAGCTCTAGAAGAATAGGTGATCTCATCCAGCAGCTTCATGAAGATCTTAAACAATGGCAGGAAGACATCTGAAAGTCAAGATACCCCATAGGGCAGGGACCTAAGCCTTGATGTCATCACTCATCAATACTAATTGGAAATGACTTGGAAAAAGGAGGGAAACTATTGTAACACCATGCCTCTCGCTTCTAACACTCTGATCCGTCCAGAAGAATACCATGACTAGTAGTATTGAAGACCAAGATCAAAGGAGGCCAGGATGGATGGTTTCTTTGATAGGGTTGCCAGGTCTGCTTCCAAAAAATAGCAGACAAGCGGGGGGGGAGGGGGTTAAGTAGTAAAAAAATATAAAAAAATTTACAATTATATTATATATTTTCTTACAAACATTTTAACATGTATTAAAATAATCACTTCAAAACTTTACTTAAAATTCAAAACATCAAGTTTATTATAATAATATGTAAAATATTAAATTACATTTTACTTTGCTGTCGTGTGTATTTTTTATTTGACTGCACAGCTTTGATCAATTCCCGGGTTTAAGGAATAATTCTTTAATTTCAGTATAACGTTGAGAAATATTAAAAAATATACAAAGTTCACTTTGAACTGATACAAGCAGTCGGTTATGTTTGTCAGTCCACAAATTTCCCATGATGCTGAAAATTCGTTCAATGTTTGCATTTGATACCGGAATTGATGCACAATACTGGAACAGTTTCAGTAAACTCGGAGCTGGCTCTTTCTTGAAAAAGTACGTCCACTTATCAAGGGATGAATCGCCCTGCAGATGAACATAAACTTCTTCTAAGGCAGAAATTTCATCGAAGAGAGGGTTGGGTGGAAGTTCTTCTCGCCATGGTGATAATAACCAGATGTTTGTCATTTCTTCTAAAGTTGGACGATTATTGCGATCAATTAGATTGAAACAACTTAGCGTCTCATATACTGAATCAGTGAAATTATACCACTTTTCTAGGTACGCAATGGCTCTTTGATACACGTTGATGGCTTCTTTCTTGAACTTTTGCACGGCATTCTCAGGCAAATGTTTTTTACGTAAGGCAAATAAAACTTTCATTCCAAAAAACTGCTCATCGTAATTTTTTTTGCAAAGAATCACGTAGCTTACACATGATAATGTGAAGATCACATGCAAGAATTTTCTTGCTTTCCAGCTTCAGTAGGGTGTCTTGCATTATTGACATGAAGAAGTGCGTGAAATATAAATACAATTCTGAAATTGTTGGTTCATCGTCCTTTGCGAGTTCATTTTCCTGATCCGAAATAAGGTTCCAGATAATCTTATGGCACTCATCAGATCCAAGAGAAATAAAATACCATTTTAGAGGTATCCAGTTTAAAAGAAGTCTTTCGACCACTTTAAACAAACTTAACCAACGTGTTGGAACATGGCGCAAAACTTCATGGAATTCTGACTCACAAAACTCAAAAAATGATTTCAACTCTTCTCGTTTCTTCGCAGAATTCAAAAATTCGGCAAAAAACTTCAGCACTACATTTTTGATATCAAAAGATAAAATGCTTTAATGCATTTTTTGCGCTGTTATGTAAAATGTGATTATTGCAATGAGCATTCGATCTTTGTCTCATTCTAACTTATGAAAAAAATGACAAAACGCGATTCTCCTATCCTTATTCTCTTAGACTGTACAGCTTTAGATTACGTACCATTTCATCATAAAGCTTTTGAATAAAAAAAATGTCCACTATTTTGTGAAAAAAAATAGTGAACATAATGTGAAAAAAGTGGACTGTCCACTCAAATAGTGGACACCTGGCAACCCTACCTTTGAAAACCAAGGGATTCTCTGGATTCTCTGTGCAGAGACAGAGCTTTAATTCAGTCTAGGCCTATAACCACTTTCTCATTCCAAAAGGTTAAAAAAGCTTAAAGTTCAACCAAATCCTCAAGAACATCTGCATCATCTGCAAAGTCTATACTTAGGATAGGAGCCATCTTATCTTCTTCATATGGTGTCATCAGAATTACAAAGAAGTTGATAATTCTTTGCTTATTTCAATTGTGTATAAGAGTTGATAATATGGACTTAAGGTCATGGGGTAGGCACTAGCATCTTGGTAATGCTGGGCAGAGAGATGATAAAAGACAGGAAGCAGGATACTTTTAGGACAAGAGTATCTTGTGCCTTGTGCCTTCTAGCTTCTTGACCTCAAACCCAAAGCCTGCTTATGTTATACTTAGTACCCTACTTGACAATAACTTTAAAATATATACAAATATATCATTTTGTAGATATGATATTCATTTTGTGAAAGATACAATTTTTTAAAATCTAGTGGCCTTCCACTACTTAAAAACCAGTCATACTTATGAAAGAAATTAGAGCCATTTCTCCACTGCTGTAGTGATTTGAAGAACTTTCTAATGTTACTTAAACATTGGTGCACTGATATAAAAATCTTTCCTCATTACAGACATAGCTGAGTGATATTAAAAGACACTGTCAATCACTACTGAGGAAATGTTCTACATATCTAGAAAGATACAAGACAGATAATACGAGATAGAACCAAAGGGATGAGACATGGAAAAATTGCTGAAGTATAAAACTAAATGCTCAGTGAATCAAATTGCCCTATCCCACCAATGAAATGAATGCAGAATAGCTATAGGATTTATGACCTGCTACAATTGATTATTGATTTGTTGATTTATTAGCTGGATAATTTGGGGAAATTTTAATTCTCTTCTATGCCTTAAAGTTCTAAAGATATAAAATAAATACATTTTAAGTCAACAGTTTAAACTGCTTTGAAGTTCAGTTCATTCTTAAATGCCATATTAAATTGGACAAGTTTTAGAATTTATCAGATTAAAGATTAAAGCACTTAATAATCTTTCAAATGTTTTGCAGATTTGATAGCCCTTCTGGTACTACTGAGAATACTTAATGTTACAATTTCACAGTCCTTCCCGAAGGACTCAGGGCGGTGAACAGCCAACAGATAAAATACAGAAAATACAAAATTTAAAACAATATTAAAATTGAAATAAATTAATTTGGCCCATAGTTAAAACACTCCTATATTAAAACCCATAATTTAACAATTTAAAATTAAAACAATTTAAAAAGTTAGGTCAGGCCATCCCGGCTTGATGAAACAGAAATGTCTTTAAGGCATAGCAGAAAGTGCGCAGATCCGGGATCTGCCGTATCTCCGGGGGCAACTCGTTCCAGAGGGTAGGTGCTCCCACAGAGAAGGCTCTCCCCCTGGGGGCCGCCAGCCGACATTGTTTGGCTGACGGCACCCTGAGGAGCCCCTCTCTGTGGGAGAGTACTGTTCGGTGGGAGGCTACTGGCGGCAGAAGGCGGTCTTGTAAATACCTGGGTCCTAAGCCATGGAGCACTCTAAAGGTGGTAATCAATACCTTGAAGTGCACCCAGAAGACCACTGGGAGCCAGTGCAACTCGCGCAGGAGAGGTGTTACATGGGAACACCGAGTCACCCCATCACCACCCGCGCGGCCGCATTCTGGACCAGTTGGAGCCTCCCGGTGCTCCTCAAGGGGAGCCCCATGTAAAGAGCATTACAGTAGTCCA